TGCTGGGTGAACTGGTATTATATTCTGTGGAGATATCCACGGGATAAATCCCTCTGTTTGCTTAAATACCACCTTAACAACAAAGCTCCTGTTTTTCTGTGAAATGCTTCAACAGCTACATGATTTATTGCCATGAATGCAATTTTCAGCCTCCCCCCCACTACTTTTCTTTCTAGCTGACTGCCTGCAAAAGCCTCCTGTGAAGACCTACAAAGCCACAAGCATAAGACTCTGCAGACTGTTATCTTTTAAAATTACAGACTTTGCAAACCATAAAAATACATATCTGATCGGCTAGTCAGAAACAAAGTGAGCAAAGGTTTCATTTACGCAAATTATAGTTATGTTCTTGCAGCATTATGGTGTTCAGAGAATGATTACATTTCATCATTTTTAAAATAACAGAGTCACAAATATGTGCTAGCTCTTGAAAATATATTCAGCATTTTTGGAGTAATTTATAGTCTAACCAATACAATCATTTAGCAAGCCGATTGTTGATCAAAAAAATCTGCCAAAACACCTGAGAGAAACCTACTGGGTGCGTAAGGTGAAGGCCGCACTGGTGATTGATGTGGGGAGACTGAGGCCTTTGGTGATCTCCCTCCATATCTTCTTGTTAATAACCTCCACCAGGCCTCCTTTCTCTGTCACAAGCTTGTAAAGCTTGTACAAGTCCAGCACCTGTTTTGCCATGATGGGGATGCGATTCACAGGAGTTCCTGGATAAATAACAGAATGCATTGAAATGTCGCTAAACAAGAACGGGTCTTGTGAACAACGTGAGGCAGAAGCAGAGGACGCGAGCATCTTCTGAGCGGCACACCTGAGGGCCTTAGGTCAGAGTTAGATAATGTGGCTTAGCATGTTTAATCTGCGCGGTGGGGGTGGGGATAATCCACAACAACAGCTTTGTTGATGCATTGATCTAAGTGTAAGGAGAGGGGCTATGTTAGAGTCAACAGCGCCAGCAGGCCAAACTGACCCTTCCGGTCCCGATTAGGAGAAAAGCCAATTAATGAAGCCAGCTAAAAAGCAGTTGTAGAAATCAGATTACTTTGTGCTTAAGATGAACACAGACACACATGCACATTTTGCATGGCAATGACCTTGCCCCACATAAGTGAAGATTAGTGAACATGTTGCACTTCTTCTTGGATTTGTTTCCACAAACAACAAATCCTAATCTTGGGATTTGTGGAAACAAATCCCAATCTGTATGAAAGTCTTTAACCAAGTGGCTAAATCCAGGGATGAAGATGCAGAAGTGCTGAAAAAGAGACTCAACCCATCTAGACTCTTGTG